AATTTAGATCATTTATAACATTTAATATGGCGTGTGAATATTGTGTTATACCTTGTTGATCACCAGCTAGCTGGGATACTTCATGAGTCTGATCTATATCTGGTCTTGTAGTAGACGACAAAACAGTTGGTTGTATAACGTCACAAGTCTCATTTATATTTTCAACAACTGTGTCTAAAATGTATAAAAATAAAAAGAATACATATTAAGGTTAACGCATTATGAATCATATTTTAAACATATAATCTGTTTTTGTTTTGTATAAATAACCAGACAAGTTGATGTATGTAAAGTTAGAAGACAAACTCGTGTTTACATCAGACAAACTGATTAATTACTATATATTTTTCATGTCAACAAGGCTGTGCCATGGAGATGGAGAACAATTGTCGATGTAATTATAATTAGTGTTTATTATTATCAATGTTTTAATTAATGGTTATTATAGACAAAATGTGAACATATACAGTCCACTACTTAACGGGACGGGAATCATGTGCAAAAATCCATTAGTAAAGTGGCAAAAATAAATGAACTGCCTAGGTAGGATTATATCGTAGTTTATATTAGGTTGACAACCTTTTAAAATGCCGTCTACTAATTTATCCGGTGAATTTGGTTTAATTAGCCGTGGATCATTTATCGGTATACTACAGTCGCTATCATCAGTCTCATCTATATTCCAAAGTTCCTGTTCTATCAGCCGTTTATCAACTGGTTTATCATCTGTTGATAGACTACAGTCGCTATCATCAGCCTCATCTATATTCCAAAATTCCTGTTCTATCAGCCGTTTATCAACTGGTTTATCATCTGTTGGTAGACTACAGTCTATATCATCAGTCTGATGTACATCTATAGGTTCTTGTTTTACCAGTAGTTTATCATCTGTTGGTAGACTACAGTCTATATCATCAGTCTGGTATACATCTAGAGGTTCTTGTTTTATCAGCAGTTTCCCATCCCTTGCTTGAATATCAACTGACGAATAATTGGATTCATTTATTTCTACATCTGAAATATGTCGATATTAAAGAATAAATGAAGATAGATATAAACTAAATGGATATGAACACGTAATAATAATGTAAACAATGTGAGATTTACATCTTCAAAATACAAAGGGGGTATTATGCCATAACGAGTCAAGCTACTGGATTCCGCCCTGAACATAACATCTGCTTTACAACAAAAATACTAAATATACAGTCGGCCAAGAAACATTACGGGTTGTTAATTACCGAATAAAGTTTACCTTGTCCATTTTTATCATCTTCAAACTCTTCTTTAATTCTGTCTATTATAACATTTTGTTCATAAATTCGGTCCAGCTCATCGCACAAAACACTGTTTCTCACTTTCGTCATTTGTAGATCTTCATTTCTCGTGTCCCGTTCCTCTTTTAGTTGGTCCAGTAGCTTCGTTTTTGTTCTCATAACACTAACTTAAGAACGCGAAATCCCCTTCTATACCAGATAAGAACGACAAAACGGGGGACCCATGGGTGAAATGACCAAAATGACGATTTAATTTGACTTTTGCGTTCAACGATCAACTTTCGTGCATACGTCGACCAACCTCAGATGTCATCAAAAACACTGATTAAGAAGACCCACAAGAAGACCCCCTTTATCCCCCCCCACCCTTAGAGATTAGTTAATTAGAATTCCGCGTACAGCATTAATTGTTTTGTTAAAAGTTTCACTATTGGTTCACTAGAACACATGGCCGCAGATCTTATTAAATTTTAGGGGTGTGGGCTGGGGGTCCTCCCCCAAAAAAATTTGAAAGCAGATGCCTGCAAACGATATCTGAGACCATTTCTGAGCATTCTGCAGAGATGAACGTACCGAGAATAATTTGTCGTTTTTGAGCGAGAATAATCAATAGCTACACAAATAAGGGATGAGGAATATTCTTTATTTCATCATAATGAATAATTTCAGCCGACAGGCCGTCATCAAATACCAACATATTATAATATAATTAATTATCAATAAAATATGTAGTTTAAACTCGGTGAGTGTAATTCTTAAAATATTAAATTTCTATAATCGTTCGTTTCAATTTCAACCATATCATTTCAAAGTTCAAACATAAATCCAATTTGAATAATTCAATCGGTGTTTAGGCTGCCTAGGCACCTCTGAATTCTGATTTATAATTCGTTTGTACCTCATATTGAACGGAAGTCCATAGTAGGTACATGACTCGATGATATCTGGCACCATCATTAGTTATTATAAATATTTTGGACATTTCTAATACGAATACGGTAAAAGTTAAAAATATTTATTATTAAACTTTAAAAATATAAACAGTAAACCACAGATGATATGGACTGATTAATCAAAGAAGTCCTCCCAATATAAGGATATAAATAGGCTAATAAATTGCCGGTCACGGATGAAAATGTGATGAATAATTTCTCAAGTGGCCAGCTCTGAGCATAAGCTGCTGAGGTCATGAAGAGATCATTCTCAGATCTGGGTTACATCAAAGACCGGGCATTTTTGAACCAAGGGGAAATATCCTCAGCCTGAAAATAGGACTCACGTTTTGGGAGACGCTGAGAGAGTACGGCGGGCGAAGGCATACGCCACGTGCGCTACAGGCGCGAATTTAGCGGAGGTCTTGGTGCCTCCCCCGGAAGATTTTTTAAAATTAGGATGCCTCAAAATGCTATCTGAGACCATTTCTGGGCATTGTACATCGGCATGTTCGGAAATATAGGCTACATTTCCCTGGCTGAAAATAAGACTTTTGAAATTTTATCGATGCTTTTTTCGGGGGGGGGGGGCATATGAAATCCCCCCAGTGAAAAGCAGGGATCTGCGGCCATGCTAGAACATAACACTAACTTGAGAACCAGAAATGCCCTTCTATCTCGGATAAGGACGCGAAAATGGGGAACGGGGCAAGGATGAAATGGCCAAAACTGACGATTTAAGTCAACTTCAGCCTACCTCATCATCCTTCCTGCCAATGTAAACTTACCTCAGATTACATTTGCAAAACTCTGCTACAGTAGATGTCCGAGCCCCTTAAGAACTACCCCTTTACCCCCATCAGAGATAAGTTAACTCAACTTTTTGTTAAGCGTTTCCACGGGCTAGTTTTATATAGCTCTGCTCTCGGAGATTTGGTTGATGACCCTAAAAGCTCCTGACGTCCATTCTGTTTCACCTAAAAACAATCTGTAGGATTAGTCATACTCTTAATATTCCTAGATGTCCCAGACGAAGTGATATTTTCATTATGGACTCCAATGAATTGCTCCCGTACCATGTTGTCGACCTAGTTACTAATGTGCCAAGAGAAGAAGCCTTGATTTCGGAGTTCTTGAAAACTACAAGATAAACCTGCAGACAAGACAGAAAATAGACATTTACCCCCCCCCCCCCCAAACAAAAAGAAAACCCAACACCATTATCAAATTAAGTGAATGGGGGTGGTCGGTATTCGTGTAGGCTGAAGTTGACTTAAATCGTCAGTTTTGGCTATTTCATCCTTGCCCCGTTCCCCGTTTTCTCGTCATTATGAGAGATAGAAGGGGATTTCGCGTTCTTAAGTTCTGTTATAGTGAACCATTAGTGACATTTTTAACGAAAAAAATTAATGTTGTACGTGGAATTCAAATTAACTCATCTCAAAGAGGGGGGGGGGGGGGGTCGTGGGTCTTCTTAAGCAGTTTTTTTGATGACATCTGAGGTTGGTCGACGTATGCACGAAAGTTGATCGTTGTACGCAAAAGTCAAATTAAATCATCATTTTGGTCATTTCACCCATGGGTCCCCCGTTTTGTCGTTCTTATCTGGTATAGAAGGGGATTTCGCGTTCTTAAGTTAGTGTTATGTTCTAGTGGACCAATAGTGAAACTTTTAACGAAAAAAATTAATGTTGTACGCGGAAGTCGACTTAACTCGTCTCTCAGGGGGGTAAAAGGGGTGTTCTTAAGGGAGGAAGGAAGGGTCGTGGGCCTTCTTAAGCAGTGATTTTGATGACATCTGATTTTGATCGACATATGCACGAAAGTTTATCGTTGTACGCAAAAGTCGAATTAAATTGTCATTTTGTTCATTTCACCCATGGGTCCCGCGCTTTTTCGTTCTTTTCCGGGATAGAAGAGGATTTCGCGTTCTTAAGTTAGTGTTATGTTCTAGCGAACTAACGCGGAAGACGAATTAACTCGTCTCTCTGGGGGTAAAGGGGGTGTTCTTAAGGGAAGAAGGGAGCGTCGGGGGTCTTCTTAAGCAGTGTTTTTGATGACATCTGATTTTAGTGTACGTCAGGGGGCAACTGTAAAAAAAAATGAAAAAAAAACAACTGGGGGTGCGTTGGGTGTGCCAGCCGAAAAAATGCAAGAAAAAGTGCATTTCCGGGTAAGAAAATTGGGTGGTCTAACTGAGTTTTGCAAGGAAAAAAGCATTTCCGGGTAAGAAAATTGGGTGGTCTGAGTTCTGAAAGAAAAAAAACATTTCCGGGTAAGAATTGGGTGGTCTAACAGAGCTCTGAAAGAAAAAAAAACATTTCCGGGTAAGAAAATTGGGTGGTCTAACAGAGTTCTGTAAGAAAAAAAGCATTTCCGGGTAAGAAAATTGGGTGGACTAACAGAGTTCTGAAAGAAAAAAAGCATTTCTCCTCCTCACTCATGATAGAACAGGATAGAAACGATCACTACTGCAAATCAATTTTGACGCAAGAAAACGTTGTGACGTGCTGCCGTTTTACCGAGTTGTGTCGAATTAGTGGTCGAATCCAAGCGAAGATAAATTCAAATTTAATATGCTTGAGTCTTGGGTCGCTGGTAAATAAATTATGAAAGAAAATGCTATTCGAATATTTCAATTAAAATATTTTTAACGTTTGGAGATTTTTAAAAAGATTAGTAAATTAGCCTTAAACTAAGTGTGGTCTTTTTGACCGGTAGGTAGCCTAGTGCCAGTCGTGAATGAATTAGTTACGGCCTGTTAACCGAGACTACACAGGGATAACTCTTGGCAACAACGATGGCTACACACTGCACAATACTTGATCTTGAATATCTGAGAAATATCTTTCCTAGGGTTAGGGTTAGGTTTATCTAAAACTGTTCTGAAGGGTTAGGGTTAGAATTGTGGCTAACACACTTTCGAAGTTTCGATAACTTTAACATGGGTGAGTTGTTAAACTTCATTATTTTAATTGCAGACCGTCAACACAATTTTATTGCTAGTTGAACTAGTTCTTGTTCAGAGAAGAGCAGTTCTTGCATACACCCCTCAGAATACCCTTATAAAACTATGTGATGCCTAGGATTCAAGTGGTTGCTATGTATAATATCGTTCTGACGTGTTGTCAATCATTGTCAATTTTAGCATAATTTCCCGTTATCCTAGGCCCATCACAGCTGCTATTTCACCTCACCTACTCTAGTGAGTATATTTTCAAACAATTTCTTGAGACTAAACTCATTATCAGGCGGATTATGTTATTCAGAATTTGAGCAAACTTTGATTTAAATTGTCCACTTTAGCCTAAAGTAAACACTGCGGAGACGGAGTGCAAAAAAACAAAACAAAATTGTCCACACTGGCACTGCTATGCTTAGTTACGAATAATTTATGATGCCTGTTTATGACTGATTTTCTTCTGTTTTATATATTTCAGAGATGTGTTTGGATGAAGTTTGAAAATAGTGTGATGGTCATTTGAGCAGAATTTCTTGAAGATATTTGTCAATAATGATTTGAGTTGAGGAAGATGGCTGAGCACAAAATGAAAAAAAAGTAGGCCTACACTGTACCGGTAATATTTATATACGCAGTTATTCGCCTTTCTAAAACAGAGGGGTGTTATATATTGTCCAATCGACAGTGTCTAATCCACCAATCAAAACGCAAAATTCACCCTTAAGCATGTTACAATGCCGTGTCGATACTGTTTTTTTTCCCGGTCTCAGTGTGGTGTTTGGTAACTATGTTTTTAGGACAATTGTGATACAAGTGAATGGTGAACTTTATATGTGTGTGTCGTAAAGTGACGACTATGATTAATTTTATAATTCCTCCGGGGAAAGTGAACTTTAATTTCGTGAAAACCCATGCTTTTTAACATGGCAATCTCCATAGACATCATAAACTCTGTGAACCATGAACTCTGTGAACTGTGAATTCCGTGACTCGTGGACTCTAATTATTGAATTAGAACTGTCAACAAAGAAAACTGTCAACTTGTTTATGTTTGTACTGTAACTCCTGTTTCTTGTATATGTTTATTTACATAAATATTCATTAATATTTCAAAGCCTTATCATTTCATTCAATAGTTATCCCGTGATTTGATCGACTTTTGTCCTGTCAATTTGGTTTGCCAGCCCACTCCGAATAAACACGTCGTGTGGAGAGGGTCAACATATTTTTTTACCCACAACACCGCAGCATGCCGAGATGAGATTTGGGGAATCTTTTACTTCTTCACACTCTGGTCAAAATTGGTCAACCTGTGATCAGTAGATTTGAGTGGATCAGGCTGGATCAGGGAAAGCACAATAAATGAATAGGTACAAGCCTAAGTTCATATATTTTAGCCTGTCTCTGCATATGGGCAGTCTTAGACTATCTTTGCTAATAATTCAGACTCAGAATTTTGGCGAACATCCACTCAATATAAATACTGTATTTATAACATATCGTCTTGTCATTTGTTCTATTGTTCAGCCTTTTAGTAGTTAGGTAGGCCTATTGCACATACTTTTGGGTGGTCTAAAATGAGATATTTCAAGAAACACATTTTCTTGCACAAGATTTTAGGGTGGTCTAATAAGCAACTGTGAGGAACACATTTTCTTGCACATGATTTTTGGGTGGTCTTTTCTTAAAAATGATGGTGCAAATTTTTTTACGCAAGATTTTAAGGGGTGGGTGGTCTACCCGTGTCCAGTGCATATTTTTTGACTTGACATATGATGTTTTTTTTTACTACTGCCCCCTGTCTACGTATGCATGAAAGTTGATCGTTGTACGCATAAGTCGAATTAAATCGTCATTTTGTTCATTTCACCTATACGCCCCCCTTTTTGTCGTTCTTATCCGGGATGGAAGGGGATTTGGCATATGCGGAAGTCGAATTAACCCCTCTCTCAGGGGGTAAAGGGGATGTTCTTAAGGGAGGAAGGAAGGGTCAGGTGTCTTCTTAAGCAGTGTTTTTGGCGGCATCTGAAGTTTGTCGACTTATGCACAAAAGTTGATTGTTGTACGCTAAAGTGGAATTAAACTTGAAAATTCAACGCTTTGTCGGACCCCCAACCCCCATGGGAAGGGGACCCGCAACTTAAGAATCAAGGTTCAGATTATTGAACACCGCTGTCCACTCATCTAACGTAGTAGAAATTTTGTACGCGATTTTCGAAACAACCTGAACCTAGCTCCCTAACTACTATGTTAGAGATTCTCAGTGCTAGAAATTAATGTTTTACTTATCTTTAGGGTGATCATCAAGACAAATATGGAACCATGTGGTTTTGGTTCCCAAAATTTGTTTTGCGCCCCCCCCCCCCAATTTTCAGTATTGTACCATACCCATTTTAGTGCTATATATTACTGTTTTACTAATCTACAACTCTGATAATCATTTATATCAACAGGATAACTTTTCACGCCATTAGAGATGTCGAGTGGTATGAAATGATCAACCCAATTTAAGACATTAGACCCTTCCCACCGCCGTATCTTGGAAACGCCCTTTAACAACCTGACCACCACCCAGAAGCGAAATCTACGCAAAAAGTGCTCTAGAAAATGTTGGTCTCATAAATTCTCCTTCGTGATAGCGCCCCCCCCCCTCCACCTCTTGACTGGCGGGACTATTACATAGCGCTAAGTAGTACATGTATACACCTGGGTCCGTATTCAAAGGATTTCTTAAAGTTAAGTAAAAATACTTAATTTTTTCACTTAACCAAGTGTCTTATCTTAAATCGGTATTCAAAGGCCTTGGCCATATCGGTGGTAGTACCCATAATATACACTTTTGTGGCACTACAACATCAATATCTCGATTGGTGCAGAAAAGTAGGAAAATGAAATGGGGTTTAACGTGCCACTGCTCTGCCCCGACTGTACTAATGAAAATGGGCATACCCTATACAGTGTTCTATGAGGGGGAACTTTGTCCGGATAGCGGCGATATGGCCTACTCTTCTGTTGAATTCCAACCGTCAGCGGGTCTTTTACTTGCACGCCAATATGTACATGGGACATCAGTTTTTCGTTTCATCCGAACGACTATACGGTATTCCTTGCTAAGTCCTCCGTCCTGCACCCCTGTCGAAGAGAAATCATGAAGAGCCACATCACGACATGATACCAATCAGCCACCATATCAAAGCTGATGATAAAAAAATGTAAGTTGAGGCCAATTACGCCCGGCGACATTGTTTTTACTTCAATCTCAATCCGCTAACTTTTAAAATCGCCATAACGGGCCATCTACTAGTAGACTACATTGTGTACTCGCTTAACTTTAAGATTCCCCCCATAGATCACTTAAAGTTAAGTGGATTGTTTTCACTTAAACTGACTTTTGGATACCACTAAAATACTAAACACTTAAAAGTACGTAACATTGCCTTTGAATATCATTTACCCTTAACCCACAGGAAGATACCTATATTATCATTTAAGTGATATCTAGTAGTTAAGTGACTATCTTAGACTTAAGAGATCCCTTGGATACGGACCCAGGATCCGTAGGTACTGTCTCTTCATTCACATTACACAATTCTTTTCCACAGGCCATTCTTTCAACGGCGAGTACATTTCAAGGTAGTTGTCTATGTCACTGTCGACCTAAAGTATGTGTTTGTTTACCGCCAAAGCCCGCACCCACCCCAGACTGTTCTCGTCTCCTTCCCACAACACCAATCACAATTTATCTATTCCTCAGATGAAACGAAAACCTTGATTGCGAATATATAATTAGGTTCAGTATTTTACCGTCGTCGTTCTGAAAACGTTTGCGCTGAAAACGTAGCTACAGAATAAGACTGACAACTTAGTCTAGGTCTAATTATATCATAGAAATTTTTATTTAAACTATTTCAGGTTATAAAAACTTGGGTAACTGTATATTTTACAGAGTACATATAGATGCAGATCAGCTATATTTTCTTAAAATACACACAATTAAAATTACTGAAAGGAAACAAAGTACAGGCACAAAATGAACAGAATGATGATGACGGATCCAAAACTTGGATATGGAAAGGTTATTTATGAACAACCAAGAAATGACAACTCGGGTGTGATAGCTGAGATACATCATACATCAAACGAATTAAATGAAAATGTCTGATACCATAACATTGTAAGACACACATTATTAAAAATATAAAATGTATCAACAAAGTTACTATCATCACATTCGTAAAAGTTAAGCAATGTCCATTCCAAAACTTTCCTTGTCATCTAATATATGTTCCCACTCATTTCGAAAGTCTGGGTAACTGGTATAAGTAGACGGTAATTCTAAACTTGGACCACATGTGTGAAAAGTTGGTACTCTACCTTTCCCATGACGGATAACAAATAAAACATCAATTTTTTCCACCGAAACAACATCAGCGCCAGTCATTAGGCGTAGTAATTTTGAAAGCTGGCAAATGTTTCGACCTCTAATAAAACGATATAAATATCCCAAACTTGAATTCTCCTCTTTTGACATTGGCACAGCTTTAATCAAAGATATAACTTTAGCGATAGATGGTTCCAACTATACATGTTCAAAATTGATTCAATATCGGGAAGGAGCAATTGTAAAGGTGCTCTAGCGATGTTTGCTATTGCATCCAACGCATATTTGGTTCTTGGATAAGTGTTTTGTGACCTATCTGGACAATAAGCGCATCTAGGTCTTCCGGTGTGGGGATCTTGTGGCACTGAAACCTATCTAAGATACCTAACAGCTCATCGGTCTCGTATGGCAAACCATAAAACTGTTGGTGATCAGCTCGGGTGTAACACTCTCTTCTCCGTGGATTATAGCAATCATAAATACTGGAGCTTAATGAATTGGCAAATATCTGTGATCAGTAAATCCTTTTAAAAGAATCCGTCCTATGGCACCCCACTCTTCCAGTGAGTATTCGTTGACAAGCAAAGGGATGCGATAGGCTTCCCCATCAGTATTTCGCTGATAAAATGAATCCCAAAACCCAGAATAAGCGTCTCGTGACACCCCGTCCGCGTTGTGACCAAATTCGTTGATAAATGAAAACGAAAGACTTTGGTCGACAATTTCTGGGGCCTTAAAACAAGCAACAAGTTCTTCTTGAATTAATGTTCTGTGAATGTGTAGTTTATTTACTCCTGTCCCGACCGGTCCTACTTGTGAATCTTCGTGCACTATTTCTGGTATGTAACTTTCTCTGATAATGTCAAGTGTGGGTAAACTATCATCTGATAAATACGTAGGAGACTGATACACAAACGGGTCAACAAAGAATTCAACTGACTCTAGTTCACTGTCGTCGGAGTGTGATGATATAATGTTGTCTGAAATTAGTTGTATGTCATCAGCTTCTGTTTGTGTGTTTTGGGATTGGTCGGGTGTTTTGCTGTCTGTTTCATTGCGAATAGGAATACTAGCCGGCCCGTAATCATATAAAATCGAAGTCGTTTGAACTTGGCTGAATTGCAAACTTCCCTTACAGTTACATCATTGGCTAATTTTACTTGCGTTTGGTCAGATATCCAAAATTGAATTCTGAAACGGACCCTTTTTTAGATTGACCGCCTGGAAAGAAAAGGGTTTGTGCTTTTCGTAAAAGGTCTGACATGTCTTCATCAACTTCTATATCAATACTTCGAGTGCCCCCACCATTCTGAGACCGAACTTGTCTAGGCTCACAGTCTTCAGAGTACTGGTGCAACCAACCAACTTCGACCTATTTAGTCCCTTTTTTCGCATTTTTATTACCAGTTTGGGGCAGAGACCGCCTATCGTGTTCTTTGTTTATTTTGCTTTTTAGTTTAGCTGCAAGTCTGTCTCGTAGTGTCATTTTCTTATACGTAGAACTAGAAGGTGCACAGCCTACCTCCATCTGCTTTTGTTGCTTAAGGAAGGAAAATAAAGCTAAGCAATCGCCATACTTCGGGATATATTTTTGGAGATCTTCCGATGACATTTGTAGTATTACGGTTTCACCTATCTGGAATAAAAAAATGATACATATTAGTAAATGAACAGAATACCAAATAACGACATGGATGTGGAGTTTCACATACATCCACAAAACCTC